TTCTCTAAATTGATTTCTGCCTTTTAATCTGTAATTACTAGAAAACTCCTGTTCCCATTTGTACCAAACTTAATTTGTATTTGTTTAATTTTTATTTACATCCAGATTTTAAAATAGTTTCATGCCAACAAAATTGGCTGTAATCAAATCTTTAAATAATAATAATTTGGCCCCCCCTTTTAAACTAGTCTTGGCTTTTTATGTGTGTATGTGTTTTTCATGTTTGTGTCAGAGATGGTGTGTTGGGTTAACTTTCCACTTTACTGGTTTTGAGTGTCTGACTTTATATACTTATCTGTCCTATTTGATTAAATTAGAAGGTCGAATAACAGCATCACCACTTCTCTGGGCAGGAATTCCCATCTAAGTGCAAATGATAGTAGGTAAATAGTACAGTTGATTAGTTTCTAACATAGAATATATTTTTATGTACAATCTGTTTTATAAAATAGTACCATTTGACCTAACATGTGTTTCAGTGAAAGAAAATCCTACTTTGGTTTACTAAATTGGTATTATTCTTGAATGTGGTATTTGAATGTAAGCAAACATAAGCAGACCATTGCCCTCCAATCAATTCCAGCTCTGACCCTATGGGAGAGAGTAGAACTGCCTCAGTGAGGCACACTGCTAGAGCCTTCTTTCTTGGAGTGGCTGGTAGGTTCAAATCACATTTTGGTAGCAACCAAGCAGTTTAGCCATTTCACTACCAAGGCTCCTATAAAGCAAGCATAACTGATGGTAAAACAGATTTTGGATTCTGAAGCTTTAAGATGAATAATATGTATTTTTTAATACATATCAGACTTACTCTAGTCGATGTAGAAGTTTTGAAATACATAACTATATAGTTTTTTTCTTTAAAGCTTTTTGTTGAGAATACACAGTAAAAATATTTCAGGCGTTCTGAATGAACTAATTAGCAACATTGAATATTTTTCAAACTGCAGCCATTCTCACCCTCCTTTTCTGAGTTTCCCATTAACATAAACTCATTGGCCCTATCTATAGAGTTGCTGTTGGCAGTTTGATCCCATATACCCACTACCATGGAGTCGGTTCTAACTCTTAGTGACTTGTTAGAGCCATTAAGTTGGTTCTGACTCAAAACAACCCTATATAGGGTTTCTGAAGAGCAGTTGTGGGGTTTGAACTGCCAACCTTGTGGTTAGCATTCTAGTGCTTATACTACAGTGCCACACCAGGACTCCTAGTGGCCCTAAAGTACAATAAAACTGCTGCCCCATGTTAGTGCTATCAATTCCCACCCATAGAGACCCTGTATAGGGTTTCCAAGAAGCAGCTGGTAAGCTTGAAACACCAACCTTGCACTTTGCAGTCTGATGCATTAGCCCATCGGCACCAAACCAGGACTCCAAATTGGTAAATCTTACCAGCCAGCTTCATCTATCTCCCATAGAGTGGCTAGTGGGTTTGGACCTCGTATCATAGTTAGCAGGCCAATGCTTAACCCCCAGGCGTGCCACCGGGCAGACCTTTTTCACTAAACTAGATTTGGTTTTTAAGACTTATGGGGATATTTTTGGTTTAAGATTTAATGGATTACCTCTAAGCAATAGTTTCTAGGTTTTATCTACCTTCCATGGATCCAGAAAGAATATATAAAGTCCATGAGAATTTTCTCTTCTCCATTTCTGCTTCTGGTCAGCATTCTATGGAATCCAGAAGAGATGATCACTAATGGTAGCTGGGCACCATCCAGTTGTTCTGGTCAGCTTGGCAAAGGTTCCCGTATAGTTTTAAATTAAAGAGAAAATTTACTCAAAAGATTTTTAAGTATTTGGACATTATGTAGACGTGAAAAAGAATAAGGTGTTGAGAATGACACTCTTAAAATGGGGTAGGTGAGGAAGGTATTGCTGTCATCCCAAGAAAAATTAATTAGTAGGTGTCTTAATTTTCTAAAGCGGTCATAACAAAATACTACAAAATAAGTGGCTCTAAAGAACAGAAACATTTTTTCACAGCTCCTGAGGGCTTTTGAGAGAACTGTTCCTTGCCCCTTCTTGATACTGGTGGCTTTTATGATTGTAAACACTTCTAGCTCTGGACACAGCATCTTCCCTATGTTGGTAGGACTCCATATCTGCTCTCCCATTTTATAACACATCACTCCAAAGGGATTATTAGAATTAGGACCCCTTACTACCCTGATATGACCCTGTTTAACAGATGATAAAAGGAAAACTATTTTATACAAGGTGGTATTCACAGGTCCAAGGGTTAGGACTTAAAACATTTTGGGATCATAATTCTTAACTCCTGGTGTGGCACTGTAGGAGCAGTACTGGACAAGGTCGTTCATTCAAGCTCACCAGCCACTTCTAGGATACCATATATACAGGGTCGTATGAGTTGGAACCAGCTTGACAGCACTTAATTTATAGCAAAAGGGGGAGGAAGGACATTTAGCTTTCTGGCTGTGGTTTTATGTGGGTGGTATGGGTTTAGCCTGCCTTAAACAATTACTGACAGAACAAGCTACAAATAGTATTTGACTGGCAGTGAAGAGGAAATTGACAGTAAGGCAAAAGCCTGAGCAAACAGGTGATGTAAAAACATGTGAAGTTGTTCACATAATAAACATGTTACATAAAAGCAATTGCTGGCAAGTTGAGTCTCTTAGTGACTTTACAGGACAGGGTAGAATGGCATCGGCATCATAGGTTTTCCATGGCTGTAAAGCTCTGGTAGCGCAGTGGTTACGAATCGGGCTGCGAAGCACAAGGTCAGCAGTTTGAACTACCAGCTGTTCTGTGGGAGACAGATGAGGCTTTCTGCTCCCGTAAAGATTTACAGCCTCGGAAACCCTATACAGGGTCACTGTGAGTTGGAACTGACTCCACGGCACATAGCAACAACAAAATTTTTATTGGAAGCAAACTGCCACATTCTTAAACGGTAGGTTAGCAGCCAAGCACTTAGCCCAGGCATCCCCGGGATTCCAGTGTGTTACATAGAAATAAAATGAAAAATACATGGTTATCTTTTCTGTGCAGTCCTAGAGTCTCTTGGTGACCCAAACAGTGAAGTACTTGACAACTAGCTGAAGGGTTGGTAGTTCAAACCTACCCAGAGGCACCTTGAAAGACAGTTCGGGCAACTCTGCACACACAGGGTTGCCATGAGCTGGAAGGGATGTGATGGCAACTATGTATAATCATCACTCTTTTCCTCTATATTTTAACACAAAACTAATACAGCACTTGAATGGAATCCAGTCACGATTTACTTGGGAAATCTGTTTCTTTTGCTTAATAGGTGGAGTTCACACCACCTAAAACAAAACAAAACAACAGTACTTACCCTTTGTCATCCTCTGCTCTTTGTAGAAAAGCCCTAACAACCTGTAATGTTGAGAAGGGAACAGAGAAAAGCCCAATTTCATTGTTCTGCCCTTTTGTACCATGTCCCAGAGTAGACCTGGGGAGAACACAACTAGAAGCTACCTAGAGACAGAAAGGGAATTAGGATTGTGAAGTGCTCTGACTTTGGTATTTAAGTGCCATCCAGTCGGTTCTGACTCTGACCTTGTAAAGAGTTTCCGAGAAGCAGCTGTTGGATTTGAACCATCAACCTTGTGGGCCAGTGCATTATCCTGCAGCGCCACACAGCAATCCCCGGTGATTGACTGGTTGTCGTGGTAGTGGTGATGTGCCCTGGAGTTGGTTCCGACTTATAGTAACCCTGCATAGGGTTTTTCCAAGGCTGTAAACCTTTATGGAAACAGAAAGGCTCATCTTTCACCTGTGGAACACTGGGTAGTTTCAAACTGCTGACCTTAATAGGCCACTATGCCACCAGAGCTAGATCACTGTAAAGTCACCATCCCTACCCTAAGCCCTGCCAGCCTGCTAGCATGTTCTCAAAATCATTTATATGTCTGGGGGAAAGTACAAGTTGTCCTAGTTCAGTCACCCACCCCTACCCTATTCCTGGTTATCCCAGCAGTACCAGACAGAAAAGAACCATGATTAAATAATGTAGACATTTTACACACATACACACAAAAAGCAGGCTGGTTTTTTAAGTTAAGGAGGCCAAGAGATACTATTAACAACATATTTTAGGTAGGGGCTTTAAGCAGTCAGTTCTAAGAAGAGAAAAACTTGGGAGATGTAAAAGTTCCATTTGCTGCTGGCATTTTGCTTAAGTTGTTGCCATTCCTGCTCACACAGATGCAAACACCCTCCTCAAAAATACTTGGGAAAACTCATTTTAGAAGTTCAAATCAGATTTTGAATATCCTCCCAATTTTTAGTTACTAAATTTAACTTTTTCTCTAATAATTTTTTGTAAATATTAATACTAATGGATTAGCTTAAATGAGTTCTAACAATCTAACAGTCTTAGAATATGACAAGTACATATATACAAGTTTAATAACATTTTGTACATGATTATAAAAATTCTAATACAATAAAATCATTCTCTTACATATATGTTAATATCTTACAGAGGTCCTGCTACTTTGGGTAATATAAATGCCTCAGCCACTCCTTTGCTTGACATTTCGCCATTCTTTTATATAATTTCTAATAACATGTCTGTAATGTATTGTGGGTAACCTTATAAAGTATGTTTAGGAGATGCAGAGCTGAAAGTTACCTGTAGGTGGCATGCTGTGTGCTGTCAAGTCAGTTCCAACTCATAACGGCACTGTACAAAGTTTCTGAGAGGCTGATGGGTTTGAACTGCTGACCTTAGCAGTCCAGTGCTTATAAACACAACTAAATTACAAGCTGTATTCCTTTCAACAAATGCTATTAACAGGCAAAAAGTGAAATCTCACTCAGAAGGTAAATAGGGATTGTCTAGTGGGAATCTTGGAGTCCTGGTATGGCACTGCAGGATAATGTACTGGACCACAAGGTTAGTTCGAACTGCAAGGTTGGCGATTCAAACCCCAGAGCTGCTCCTCAGAAACCCTATACAGGGTCACTATTGGCCGCAACCAATTAGACGGCTCTTAACACACACACACTGTGGGAGTCTTAGGAGTATTAAGCTGGGCCTTAAAAGTGAATAGTATTTGAGAAGCAGCAGAGGAAATTAACTGTATGGCAAAAGCCTAAGCAAACAGGTGATTTGAAAAGATATGGAGTGTCCAGCAACTCAATATAAAAATGCAAAGTAAGATTGTGTTTAACATTTTACTGGTGTCCTGGTGTGGTGCTATAGGATAACCATTTGACTACAAGGTTGGTTTGAATCACAAGGTTGGTGGTTCATATTCACCAGCTGCTCCTCGGAACCCTATACAGGGTCACTATGGGTCAGAACTGACTCCATGGCACTTAACAACAACATTGTACTGGGGTTAGAACATGAAGGGCTTTGAATGTCATTCTAGAGTTTCAACTTCATTCTGTAAGCATAGCAAAGCCACCAAAAGGTTTATTAGCAATGGAATGAGATTCCTGTTTCAAAAAGAAGACAAATAAGTTTAACAATTTGGAAAGGGGAAAGCTTGACACAGGGAGACCACATTGAGGAGGGTATTGCAGCATTTCAAGAGAAATATGTACTTAAGAAATTATCAAAGGGTATATGGATTTGAGGGATATTTTAGAGGTAGAATTATTAAGCATTTGAATGGAGGATGATAAAAGATTTTTAACTTGGCCAATTAAAGAAGCCAAAACTAACAATTATGGAACACTGAAGGAAGACTGGAATTATAAATATGATACATTGAATTTTCAGGTGCCTGTGGGAGAAAAATGAGGCTGTCTGCGTCTATAAATGTTACTATCGGAAACTTGATAGATCACTGAGTTGGAATTAACTTGATGGCAGTGGGATTGGGTTTGTTTTTGTTTTTTTGTAGGGCATCCATGTGGAAATGCTTAGCAAGTAGACAGAAAAAAGGTTAGGCCTAGAAGTAATATTGGTAATTGTATATAGAAATAATCAAACATGAAAATGGGACTGAAATATATCTTTTACCCCTATTTTCTCACTTTTTCCACACAAGGCTTAACACCTTTCCCAGTATTCTTGATCTAGTACTTTCAGCCTTCAGTGTGGGTTGCACCTCAGTGTAAAGAACACAAAAATCCTTATCATTGGACCAATAAACAACATCCAGATAAATGGAGAAAAGATTTGTCAAAGATTTAATTTTGCTCAGACCATCAACATTCACGGAAGCAGTAGTTAAGAAATTAAACGGTGTACTGCATTAGGCAAATCCGTTGAACAAGACCTTTTTTAAGTGTTCAAGAGCAAAAGATGTAATTTTGAGAACTAAGGCACGGCTGACCCAAGCCATAGTATTTTTAATAACCTCAAAGTTGGACAATGAATAAGGAAGACCATAGAAAAAATTGATGCATTTGAGTTATGATGTTGGAGGAGAATATTAAGTACCATGGACTGCCAAAAGAACAAAACAGTATGTGTTGGAAGAAGTACAACCAGAATGTTCCTTGGAAGCCAGATGGCCAGACTTCATCGCTCATAATTTCAGATATACTATCAGGAGGGACCAGTCCCTGGAGAAGGATATGTCTGGTAAAGTAGAGGGACAAAGAAA